AACATTTTTCTTTTAATTTCTTAGTTTAAAAATATTTAAAAACTTTATATTTTAAAATAGATAGACAAATTCGTTATTGAATTAAAAGATAAAACAGCTTCTGATAGAGCCATCGACATATAAAACACCTAAAAATGTAATCATATCATGTTATAATAGACCTAAATAAACGATAAAATATTAAAATCAATTCAATTTTTAATCTTTACCATTTGTAATAGAAGAACAATAGAAATTATGCACCTTATTGTTTTTCCAAATCGATACTCTAAAAACTGAAAATAAAGAAATTTTATAAGAATTTGAAATGCAATTTTACGAAATGGAAATTAACTACACTGGGGAACAAAGTCATTTTTGCTTTATATTATATGAGATTTATTAATAAATCATGGCAATTTTCACGTATTGATTTCAAATCTGAAATCAATTTCTCTCTCAAAGCTGCAGCTTTTTTTTTTTAAATAAAATATTTTATTTTGTCGAAATGTACTAGATGAAAAACACGTTATACATTACAGGGGGTCACATAAATATTGCAATAAATTTCTAGGGCAGTTAGGGCTCATCATCAGGATTAAAATTGAATAATAACCAGTTTCCGGAAAAGTAGACATACGCTGCTAGTGGTGCTTCTCTATTGTGAACTATTCTTCCTGTGCTTCCGAACTAGTCATAATATGGAAGCCCCTCTACCTGCTTACAACGACATTTCCAGGCATGGGTTCCTAATGATGCATGATGTACCCTCACACCCCTTAAAATTTGTCGCAATATTTACGTGACCCTTTTCATACATAGCGTCTTTAAACACGTACATTTCGAACAAAATAAGCTAAAAATGTCATTTAAAAAAACTGCAGCTTGGTTTTTATGGTTTCTTATGCCATGCTTTAAGGTATCATGACAAAATTGCCACCTTTTACCACATTTACCAACTTTTTTTCACATATTATAAAACCATTTAGTTAACTTTTCCAAAATCATTTCCAAAGACCTTCGGTAAAAATTAATGGGCATATTCTTATAGTTATGACCATATTTTTTTTCTCAGAAGGAAAGTAACTGCGAAATCAGTACAATGAATTGGTGAGTGCAGTGAAAAGATGTTACGACTAATTTATTGATATTACTGTATCGATATTACTGTATTTTTAACGTTTGAAAAGGAATATGATTTGAGTCTCATAATAAAGGTTAAACAAATTGAAATTTAATTTTGACTGTATTTAATGATACAAGATTAGACCTTTTGTAATTGAAATTGAAGAATAATTTTCAAACTCAAATAATTGTTCACTGAAAAAAATGAAGTTTCACTCATAAATTTTGTTTAATAAACTCAACAAGCAATATTTCCTTACTTTTTTTTATTTTAAAATTCAAAAAAAAACTATATATTTTATAACAGATGCTCCTTTTTGAATTCATATAGAATAAAAGAGTGATAACTATTAGATCTGAAATTTTTTAATTTAAAGATAATTAAGAGGAGAATATTTTGGCTATTAAAAAAATCTTTTTAATACCATTTCAGAACACACTGTAAAAACATCGGTAAATTTGGGGAAACAAATTGTCAGCTACTGTGGTAGTATAAAATTATTTATTTCATAGAATAGTTTATTTCATAGAATAAAAAATTAGTTGCTTATAAAAGGACACCTGTTTTTTTAGCAGATAAGTACTGTTATTTAAACGAGAGAGAAATTTAACAAACAAATTCTGTTACTTTAACAAAAAAAACACTTTAAAATAACAATATCAGCATCATGGTCGATGAGAGCCGAGAGCAGACTTCACACGACCAATCAACGTTGGGATTCGAACCTGCGTCACCAATTTCGAGGAATAGTCCTGTGTTACCGATGCTCTAATTTTCCCCATGAAAAAAAATCTTTAATTGTGTTTATCTTAAAAGTCCTATTGAAATCATAATTAATTGTAAAAACATTTGAAATTATTGTGATCCACACTTTTGAAATTGTCTGGCAACTTAACCTAACAGAATATTTAAAGAAACTTAATAATCATGTAGAGTATCCCTTTTCACAATAAAGTAGATTCGCAATTTTATTTATACGATTTTAAAAATAAGAAAAAGCTGACAAAAAGTAAGAGAAAATAGGGAAAATAATAATGAAATGATTTAAAAAAAGATAAAGTTATCATACGGTAAGCAAAACTGCGGGGCAAAAACTAGAATTTGAACTATGTGTTGCAATCCGTTTATGAAATACGGAAAAAGCCATTACGTCATTAAAGCAGCATTAGCCAATCAAATATACAAAGAAAGTACATAAAAAAAGGAAATATTTTACATCTTGCTGGTAACGGTTAAAAACACAAAAAAAATCTGTATTTTCCTATAAACAGTTTTTTTTTCAGTAAAAAACATTTTTTTTATAGAATTCACAGTAATTTTCAACCATCCACAAGCATGGCAGATATTAACATTTCAACAACACAAAGTGATTTTATTATTTTAATTACTAAAATAATTTAAAATATTAAAAAAAAATTATATTTACCTCATTAACAGTATAAACGTTAGTTTGAAAGTACACAGGAACAAATATCCATGATGCTAAAAATATTCCTACAGAAAGTGTTATAATATAGGTCAATAACGTAATGCCATATTTATAAATTTCCACTGGCGTCGATAGAAAAGTTGATGGCGATATAACAGTGACTACAAGGGATAAAATGGCTGGTACTTTTGACATTTTCTTACCAGCTACTATAAATAATTTAATTGTATTTTGATTCTCGCCAAAATACCTAGAGGCTATACCGATACCTGCTGAAATCAAAAGGGATGCTCCAATTATTACGTAATCCGTTATACCTAAATAATATTTCAAAGTCATTTTTAAAAGGCTAATATTTATCTTTCGTTAAATCGAATTTGTCTCAAACATTCCAAAGCTGAAATAAGAGTCAGATGTCTTAACAAAATAAGCTGTCGGATAAAATTTGTTTGTAGAGAAGCATCAGTCCAATAATTACCAATAAATCTTTATCGTTAATCAGGATGTTTTTTGTACGTCACAAAGTTTATCAAAGAGAAAAATATCTAAGCAACTTTCTTATCCAATGAGTAAAATTAACTGAAAGTCTTCTTAAAAGCTGGAAATATTCCCATTCTATTTTCAAATGGTCAGGGAAACACTTTCACTATTTTTTTTCATTGCATAATTTTTTTAAAGTCTTTTGCGATGTTATCGTATTTAACAAGTTTTCGAAATTTACTAACAAACAACGTGTATCTAAATTCAAAGCTATATAAAACTGTAGTTTTTAATTTTTGATACAACTAAAAATAAAATTAATTGTAGATTTTAAGTTTATTATATTTTTTAAAAAGAAAAATCGTCACACGTTATTTTTTTCAACATTTTTCTTTTAATTTCTTAGTTTAAAAATATTTAAAAACTTTATATTTTAAAATAGCATACTGTCACTTTATGGAAAATATATTTAATTAAAATATCTAAATGTTTATGCTCCAAATTTCATGAGACTATTCTTTTTTCTTTCCAATTTTCAGAGAAATTGAAAAAATTGACTCATGTGAAAAACGCAATTACGACTTTTGCATCACTTAAAATTCTAAGGGGCAAACATCTCGCGTTCCAATCCCAACTAAGCATAATCAATTCCCCATTTAAAAATAATAACAGCATTATTTTGTAAATTAATAGAACAAATTCATAAATTTTCCATATATTTGTTTCGGGAGCGTTACAAGATATACTTTTACGTTACAAGATATACGTTAGAATATGTTCCTTCCTTTTATCTTTGTACCATTATAACAATTCGGTGCATGTATCAGGCAAAAGTCACTGACTTTAAACTGTCACTTACTTCTACAGCTGTAAAATTTCATCTTTAGTTCTCATATTGCTTTATCTGCCATACGCCATCTCATATTCTATTTCTTTAATGAGAAAAAATATCATTTGTTGTGATTATTTTTTATTGACATTGAACAGATTCACTGGTCGCTCTATGGACTAGAGAAAACTATTAAGCGAAAAATTACAGGTAAAAAAATCTGATTAACAACTTCAATTTATTTATTCGTTTATTTATTTTTGATGACTATGGTTTAAAATCGAAATAGCTCAGACTCAAAATTTGCTAACTTTAAAGTCAGCGGAATGAGATTTTTTTTTTTGTAATGGTTTTCAAATTTGTATCATTTTTTTATATAAAAGAAATATTATGCTTCGGAAATTCAGGGTTTAAGAGCCTGCATAGACAAATATAAATAAAACATTAGTTTATTCTAGCATATTTTTGATTTAGAATATTTTTAAAGCTTAAATATATTGTGTATGCAGCTTTATGATGCTATTACTCATTCTAATGCAAATTTTTGTTCGTTATTTATTATAGGAATACATTTTGATTTTAATTTGACGATTATTGTGCTAATTTGTCATATAGTGGCCATGGAGATTTAGGTATCTCAATTTCATGACATATGGCATGATAGTAGAAACTTGCTTAGCATTACGCACCGACCTCCTTTACTTCCAAAACAAGCAGGTGGCAGTTGTTCTGAAACAAAGTTGCTGCTGGAAATGAAATCCAGCTTCATAATGACAGATCTGTGCTTTAACCACCCTGTTATCGTCATATTGTAATATGTCGCTTATCATGTTTAAATGTCATATTATATATATACGTCAGTTAATATGCTTTTATGAGTTCGGTTTAGCATAGTTACTAATATTTTAAAGATTGTTTTTTTTAATTACTAAAATATCTATTTAAATGTTTTACCATTGAACTCTTAACTTGTTACTTTAGGGGATTTAATACACTGCTAAAATTTTCATTTTAAAATTACTGTAAAATAACTGGCACCAGTCTGTCTATCAATTTAACGGCGAAATTTACGGTTTGAATCATTTTTGACCATTATGGTTTTAAAACGGTTAGCAACTGGTATCGTTAAAAAAACATTAATACAAAACTATACGGTTATACAATCACTTACTATTAGCATTGTTACAAAACTCTAAAAATGAAATTTAACAAGAGATTAGAGTTAGCTTATGGTAATGGACACTAGAATCAAGATGAGATGTGTTTTGTCAAATGAATTGTAGAACATCGCTTAATTAGTCTACCCGGTGTTGCCATCTATCGTGAAAGATAGGAAATAGCTATGTGTTTTGAGTTAAGCAACTCTGACATTCACCTATCTACAATGGGATACGAACCACCGTTTAGCTGGTTATGAGATTGACAAATATACCATTTCGGCTGTAGTATATACCAGCTGTAAGGAACTAATTGGCTTTATAAATTGGGTCTGTTTGCATGGATAAAATTCTAGTTGTTTAGCCGCATTAGGTAAAAACATTAAATAAACTATTTTTTTCGCAGTTAACAGTTTGAAACCGTATTTTTATAGTTATTTGACTCTTCAATTTAAATATGGGAAAATAACTGTAAATCGTTATTTAACCATTTTCCCAGAAATTTCTAAGCATATAATATTTAAGTTGAGATAGTGAAAGCTTACAGTTGAACAATACATCGTACTTGGTATGATTTAGAGACAATCAGTGAGTCCCATAATTTAGGTTTTAAATCGAATAATTTAAAATAAGTTTTGTGTAACCTAATTATTATAAAATATCGCTGCAAATTAGATAGTAAATTTAAATTTCTTGTTAAAAGTAATATAATCAAATAAAGTCAAAACAGCGTTAAACATTTTTTCCGACTCTTGCTAAATATTGTGAAAAAAATATTTGCTGATCATAAAAAGCTCGCATTTGTTTTTTCAGAGAATGAAAAGTAATCCTAAACTATGATAAGTCGATTCTTTTGGAAGTGTGGAGTTTATTGGATGGTTTCTGTCAGTGTAGCAATTTTATACTTAGCCTTCATTCACAAAAGTAAGTATTTATTGAATTTAATAAAAAAAAATTTCAACCTCCGTAAAAAAAATTTAAGTAATCTAAAAAATAACAGTTTTTATATTTATTCATAAATTATTACTTAACTTTCTTATTCCCCGTAAAAACAGTTAAGAAGAATTTTTAAAATGAACCTAACTTTATTTTAAATTTTAATTTTCCTTCTCTTTTTTACAAATTATTTCAAATTACTGGATGAAATATTATTTGAGACATGTTTGGATTTTATTCACACTAAAATGCAAAAGTTAAACTAAATTATATTGCAGACATTATACTATGATTTGAAGTCGATACTAAATGAATAATTGTTTTGTTTCTTTAAATTTTCTTGAAAAATTTCGCAAAATTTTTTAAAAAAAAAACAGAAAAAACATCGGTAATTATATGTTTTTAACAGTTTATTTATATTACGAAACAAACTGGAAACATATATTACCGTATTACAGGTAGTTATATATTATGATTTGAAATATGTATAATATCTAAAATACATCTGCATCACGAATCTAAATTTCCAATTTTAAATTCTCAGGGTTAAATAATAATGTGTTTTGTCGAAAGTACATTAACTATTTATAAATATAAAATACGCTATATTTGAAAAATTAATTATAGAATAAAAATAAATCCTTTTTTGGATAATGTCTAAAAATATTTTCTGAAACGAAACAAGTGATGCGCTTAATAAAACATAATTTTGATTATTTTCTTCACAGAAAATATCAACTTGTTGAAAGAAAATGATGTGTCAAAATCAGGTAAGTCAACACTTAATAATTAAATACATTTTCACTGAATATATAACAATGCTCAACAAATAACAACGTATTTGATTTGTCAAATCATCACCCCGAAAAATATGGTTATGAATCAATCTCGTTTTATCTTGCAACGCTTCGAAAGATAGTTGAACTTACACTGTGAAAAGAAATATGGTGAAAACTACCAGAATATGGTAAAACCTGCCGTGTTTCTGGTTCTATGGGAAAATTAAAAAGCACGGTATATTTTACTAAAATGCTTTGGTGATGACTTTGGTATAATTAACAATAAAATATTGTTTAAAAGTATGGTTTAATATTTGGTAAAAATTTGGTAATTTTATCATTATATCATGAAAAGCATGGTAGAAAAACTTCCTATTCGATTAAACTTAAATTTCTTGAACTTCATATTTTTACTAAATGTGCAGTAAGAAGAACAACTAATTTTGAAAACCAGAATTTCTGGGAAACCATTACTATATGAATGGTTTGAATAGCGTTTATTTTTGTTTTATTACCAGAATTATATTTTTTTCATCATAAATCTCTTAATCATGCAATATAATAACCATACAGTGAATTTTTTTCCCCGTGTAAATGATAAAGCTACTTGAATTTCTGGGTCAATATCTCTTAAAAATATGATAGTTTTACTATCAAAAATTCATTTTCTTTATTACAATATTTACAAAGATAAAAAGCAGTTGTTTACATGAAACATTACCACTCGATTTTGCAAAATCATCACCATAAGAATAAATACTAAGTTCTCTTATTATGCTTGTGATACCGCCCTGTCTGAATACCTATAATTCTTAGGAGTCCTAGACTCCTACAAAAATGGATGTCTTGCCTTCTCCAAGGCTAATTATGTACTCCGTGCGGTAGTAAACAATCCACATGTATACTTGTACATTACGTCACCATGACGTTGGTGGCATGATAATGGTCTTCTAGTTTTATTAACTATTTGTTGATTTTCAGATTGGTATTAGACTTGAAAAAATAAACGTTTTAACAGGAAAACAAAATCTTAATAAGAATTTTAATTATTTTGTTTTCCTAAAATTCCCTGATATTTAGACTCCTGTTGGAATACAAATCCTTTTAATGTCACTTAGTGTATTGCATTTCCTATAAATTAAATTAAAGTAACAACAATTTAGTGATAATATAAATTAGTGATAGTGTAATTTAATGTAATTTTCAAGTGCAGCAGAAATATGATATTCAAAGAGTTTGTACTATTTTTTTTTTTTTACAGAAAAACTTATGTCTTGCAAGGATGTATGCTTAACAAAAGAATGTATTCAAGCAGGTAAAGTTTTTGCTAAAAAATATCTGTAACTCCTTTAACAAAATAGAACGGAAAAATAGCAGCAACAAAAATTAAAGCCACTTATTGCCTCTTATTCTCCAGCAGATTAATTTCAATCTGCATTACTTATATTTCAAAACTAATAACGTTATGTTAAGTTGTTATGGACGCATAGTACGCAAAATAAAAAATGGAAACCCTTTATAACTTTTGATCCAATTATCGGATTTCATTTTACCAAAATGTACCCTTTACTGATTTAAGGAACTAACCGAAAATATGCAAATTTATTTGATCTGATGATGATTCAAGTTACAAAATTAGGTGCAAAAATGTTTTTTCTCTGGCAAAAATACCTTTCATTCCATGGAACTTTTACTTTAAAATTATAGGAGAGAGCCGCAAATCTGGAATGCTTAGTCACTATAAGTTCTTGAAAAATAGATATACAAAAAAAAATTCTGCATAATTCTGTAACTATTGATATAATGTCGAATCCGGTTTCATGTGTAATCGGAATTTTGGATATATGTCATAGACAGAGTGGTTCTACGATCATGAGACAAACTTATAGGCGAGGGGTGTGACCGTACTGAAAAAGGTATCTATTACACAGGTAACTTTTTCAAACTTTGATTAACTCCGTTGTTTCAATTCGGTCAAAATGTACTTTTGTTTCGCCGCTGGAGTAGCCTAACCAACTGCATTGCACTTCGTAAATTAAAAAAATTAATAAATATGATAATGTTCAATTTTATAAAATTCTTTACATAATGTTTGCTTTTTTTCTAAATGTTTTATAATACTGTTTCTTCGAAGCAAGTAGCTTGTTAGAAAGCATTGATGAAAATAAAAGTCCGTGTGAGGACTTTTATTCCTTTGCCTGTGGAAAATGGATGGCGAAGTTTACGGAAAATGAAAACCATACAATGATTGAAGCAATGAAAGAAAACCTCAAAGCAGCTGTGAAAGGTAAACTTAAAATTTATAAATTAAAGATAAGATTTAAAAACTCGGTTTATGTTTAAATAAAGGTAATGTTAAGAAAATCGGATTCTTTTGCCTTCTCTAATCGTTAGTCATCAAATTTATATAATTGAGAATCCTTCCCCCCACCGACCACACTCAACCGTCAAAAAGACATGTTGTTGTTTTACATGCCACCTGCCAATACCAGAAAGCTTGCTTTGGGAAACCAAGCCAATTTAAGGCAGGAAGTGCATTTTTTGCATTTCATTGGTGCCATCTATGGCAAGAATAAATACCACTTCAGCCACACACACGTCACATCCCGTTTTACAGGGCGGACCTATCCATACATCCATTCATTCATCCACAGATTGTACTTTTGACCATAACAAAAGAACAATCAATCTGCAATTCAGTACCCCCCGAGGTATTGATTTGTCAAGTGAACTTGGAGGACTTAGTGACCCCTACAGATGTAACGTGCACCAGTCATCATTTATACACGGGGTTTCTTCGGCCGGCTTCGGATTTGAACTCGAGATCTCACGAACACGAGCCGAACGTCCAACCAACCAGGCTATCCCGGCAGTCAAAAAAGTATGACATAGACCTGTGTTCGCCAAGTCAGCGATCGCTCCGGTTAACTGACCTTGGTCCCTCCACAGAGCTTATAATAGTTGTTTCGGTTATTGGCCAACAGTATGATCTCAAAACGGTACGGAAGTTTAAAAGCTTCGTAATTTTGACGACCACTGGTATAGACTAATAGGAATTTTCGAAATGTGCTTTTAGTCTTCTAATTTATAAATGTCGGTTATTTACTCAAATTGATAATTTCTTTAGAAACATGCAAAGTACAAGGCCATCAACCACTTAGAACGGAAGAAATATAGCTGTAGAATATAGAACTTTAACAAATCTTTATTCAATACAATTATGAATATAGAATTCTGAATTTATTCAATACAATTCAATAAATCTAATGCAATTATGAAAACAGCATAATTATGGTAGTTTGGATTATACAGCTATCCCATTATTTATTTATAAGTAGTATAATACATATATTTTAAATACTATATATTTGTCTGTTTCTAGTTTCTTAAAGAAATCTTTATTTTGCGTGTTCTACGATAATCGAATATTTTTAAATGATCAAAAGTTGTTTTAATAAGTTTTAATTATCATAAAAGCAATTTTTTTTTAAAAATCTAAAAAGAAAGCAGATATCTAATATTAGGAAATTTTAAAAATTATTTGACCAAAATTACTAATTCTCCTGCTTTTATTGATTTAAATTGTAGGAAAAAATTTAAAAGCTTCTAATAGTTTTCAGGCTAAATTTATCCAACGACAACGAGATTTATCCAACGAATATAATAAAGGAACGTCAGAATTTTTCTCTTTTTTAAATGTGTAGAGCCTTCGAAGAATATATTCTGTCATCAAAGGTTCATTGAAATAAGCAGAGAAAACGAATACAGTCTACTTTTTTACAATGATAAAAAAGTTTAATTTAAATTAATTAGAGAAAAAATCAGCATATTCAGTAATTACTTCTAATCATTCTGGCAGATATAAAGAACACGAATATTTATGTTTATGTTTATGCTTGTATCCTTGATAAAGTCACGAAGAAATTTATTTTGTATACGTATAAATATTAGTAAATATAGATTAGTAAATACGTACAATAAAGTACGAAATACATATCTTCATGCTCTTATTTGTAATTTTTCACATTCATAATGAAAAAATACAAGAAAATAAGCATTAGAAGTAGAAGTCATATTTTAATATTAATGGCAAATAAAGGAAAAGAGAATTATATGTAAATATTTTTTAATCTTTCAGAAGTTATTAATGAAATTGAAGATTCCTCAGAAAGTTCAGCTGGAAAACTAAAAACCTTGTACGAAACCTGTGTCAATTATAGTAAGTTTTTGAGTTGTAAGTTTGATAGTAAGACTCTCTCTCTCTCGTTACACTCATTCATTAACCAGAGTTTATTTCTAGATTATTGCTAAAGATAATTAATCCTCAGTCACAACAGTTTATCACTATTAGACTAGCTATACTGCTCAAACGTTAACGGGAGCTCTGCGCTGGATGACAATACGAGTTTCAATTGTTTCCTAGGCACTAAAAACAGAATTTCTGGTTGCATTATTGATAACAAAATTTATCGAATAAAATTACCTCTTTCTGATTAGCAGGAGTGCTCATAAATTTTCTGCAACTCCCTGCTTGCTAACAATGCAGGTTTCATTGTTGCAGGGGCCAGCAAAATTTATATCAGTAGTTAAAAAAAATAGAATATATCGACTGTCCATATTTTGACGAATCTCCGACAATATAGATTGCTCAAACATCAATTAGAGCTCTATGACTAATATAAGTACAATTAAAAATTCATTTTTAAATTTTATCTCAAAACTTGTCACGATTTTTCATACATTTCGAGCACTTTTCAATCTAAACAAACACAAATCTGAAAAGAAAAACAATATTAAAATAGAAGTTTCATAAAATGCTTTTCCAAGTAGACAAAAAAAAGAGGAAAATTTTTTTATTTCTGTTGACCTAAAACAAAAAACGTATGTCACAATCATTTCGTGATAAATTTTTTTCATCCCCGAAAGTAATTCCATTCATGTCCTTCGGAAGTTAGGCGCTCTACAACTCTCGATGATCAAAATAAAACAATTTTCTTCCTTTTAGTACACCTAAGAAAAGGTAGTTTATAATTTTTCATTTTATTGTATTATTTCATTATTCTTTCAAAGAAACAACAGATGCATTTTAACGCATAAGTAGAAATTAAGATGTAATTTTATCTTTTTTTCTCAAATGCGGAAGATTTTATTTGATTTGTGCTTTGCGGAAGTTCTTCAATAAGAGTGTTTATAGCTGACACTGATTGACAAAGGACTTCCGCACTTCTAACTAATTAAAGTTCTTTTATTGATCATGATGGTAGTTATCTAGAAAATATTTGAATAAATGTATCTTAAACATTACAAACAATACAAAATTACAAAGTTTTGTAGAATTTCTATTAAGTTTATTTACAGAGTTTTGAAAGGAAATATGTCAAATGATAGTAAAGAAGAAAAACCTACCTTAAAAATCAAAAATGTAAGGTATTTAATTTCTTCCGGCCTGGTGGCCGAGTGGTTAACGTGCCTGACTGCTGAGCCACTGGTCGCGGGTTCGAATCCTGCTCAGGGCATGGATGTTTCTTTCTCTCTGTGTTCTATGTCCTTTCTCCTTTGTGTGTGATTGTGACCAGCTTTATAAACGGGTTTGTGGTTGTGTGACGTGGAGGACGCTGCTCCACCGCCGTAGCTTCACCACAGGTGCCCACTCGGTAACGAGAAGAGAGTAGCAGTTATGGCATTTCTGTGGCCATGGCACAAACCCCAAGTGTCCGCCATTAAAAAAAAAATTATTTTGATCCCTTCGTNTATATATAATTTTGAATTCAGAATTTTTTAATATCAGCACAAAGTTTTTATTCCTCTTAGTGAAGTGTGCTACTTTTTAAAAAAAAAGTAATGTAATGAGCTGTAATAATACAAAAAGAAATGTAGTTTGTGACGACCACTGGGAACTACTTTTAACGTTAATTAAGGGAAGAAATAACGTTAAGACGTAACTAATTTTTGTTTGTAAAATCGTAATATGATTGATAAAAATCTTCACGGACGCAATAAGAATTCCCCTGTGGCCAAGCGCTAATAAGAATTGCGTATTGCTTACATTTAAATTAGCTATTATAAATACTAGCCAATTTATCTGTTTGGTCACACCTTCAAAAGCAAATATACATTATGACATTAATGTTAAAGCAAATAAAAAAGATTTAAGCATATTTACAAAATTGAATGTATTTAATAATCTCTTGGCATTTCCTAAATAACCCTTTAGTGAAAGGCATAAAAAATTTAATGTTAGCCAATTCTCAAAAAAAATTTTAAGAATAGCAAAATGGCTGATAAAAACATGAATACATATTTCATTACAATTTCTTTTGTTTAAATATATCAATTTTTTTATTCAAAACCGTTTTGAACATGTTCAAACGGTTTTAGCAAAGGAACAGTTTGTTTATAAACGGTTTGCTCAAAACACAGCTAAGTTCGTTCCCAGCTACACTTAAGAAAAACGTAGTTGTAGCTAACTACGAAAATAATGTAGTTTTTCCGACCACAGACTTTCCTCACTAGTGGTTAGTCAGATTTTTATAAAATGTTTGCTTTTTCTTTATTTCGATATTAATGCACTACCTTAATAGATATGGAGATCTGACTTCATTTTTTACAAGGATTTTTAAAATATATAGTTATAATAATGATTAATGAACAACTTGCATATTTATTGTTTTCAAGATATACTTTTTCCTACTATCCTAGAATTATACCCTATCCTATTTTTACTACGGAGGCAAAAATGAGCTTTTATCATCGATGAAAATTCATTGGAAATCTAAGATTTAAAATTCCTTTTTTTGCTTTTTATTCCTAATTTTTAGGTTCTTCTGAACAGAATGCAATACCATCAGCTTTATTGTTTCTTGAACGTCTAGGAATTGAAGGATGGCCAAACTTAGCACTTGATTTTAAATTCACAAATTCTACACTTGAAGAAGTTCTGGCCATGTTAATTAGCCACAATGAATTTGCTTTCATGTATTTCCATAACTCACAAGACTTAATGAAATTTTCCGTAAGTTTCAGATTATAATAAATTAAAACAAATTTTAAAAAATGGCCCACAATGTTTATAAAAAAACATACTTCGCATCAATGAATTACAAAGTTGTTATTTAATAACCTGTTTTTCACAGAAACTAAACTTTAACATCCAAATACTATTTAATTACTTGAAATACTAGGGGAAAATATACTAGAGGGTGCCCCTTGGCGAAATTGGCGACTTATGTATGGCGCTATTCCTGTTTGCGCGGAACGCCGAGGTAACAGGAATGGTGGCCAAAACATAATGATATTTCAATTAAACATTGGAAAATTTAAATAAAATATCCGCCAAAACTTGCAATAAACCCAATATAAGCAAAATTAATAAACCCAATAAAAGGATTTTGAATCGAAGCAAAACTCAATGGAGTAGGCGCAGAAGGAAAAGGAAAAAAAACGACTCACTTCTTCATTAAGCTTGGATATTCTCAGATTTAGGTGCACAGAATTATCAAATAGCAGTTAGATACTGTCTAAATTTATCATGAATAGAATCTGTGTACATCCATCGCCTCATAAATTCGACGAAATACGGATCGAAAATGGCATCTGTAATACCGGACTAGCGGTGACATTTTTTTCTTAAATCCCTTTTTATGACTGTCCATATACCTCCGATCTTATTGACCAGATACAAAAGTAACCTTACCAGCCGGTATCCAACGTAGAACTAACGGACTTCTGAAATTACATATACCGTTGAACATTTAATAATAACGCTAAAATCTAAACCAATCAGAATCACGATTGGGCTTCAATATCGCCCAGCTTGGCTATCAACCACGATCACAACTTGGCGAGAATCAAGGGGCACCCTCAAATATAGTCTACCCAAATACTAACTATACTTGTTAAATAAATAATCCCAAGAATCTGAAGAAGTAATACAGACTTGATTAAAAACTTAATTTTCTTCAAAAAGTTTCTAGGTGATAATAAGGTCAACTTGTTTTGCGCTCTAAAAAGTTGGCGCCCATTTTCAAGACTTCACAGATGTGAATGAGGAAAAACAAAAATGATTTAAAAAAATATAAAACGTAAAGTTGCCAACGGAAAGGGGAAAAATAAAGGCGAAAAACAAAACTAGAAAAACTGTGGTGTAGTCGAAAATAAACACAAAAATGTAATAAACATAAAAGGCCAAAATAAAACGAAAAACTATGACCGAGACAGGCAATCAGAGAGAGCCTTGATATGACTCTCTTTCATTTATTTATTTCTTCATTTTAACCCTGGGCTACCGCGATTTTTCTAGTTTCGATTTTCATCTTTATTTTCCATTGCTTTTTAATTGACAACTTAACGTTCTCTCTTTCAAATCACTTTTTTCCCCTCTCATTCACGTCTGGCAAATCTTGAAACTTGGTGCTTATTTTTGAGAGCTTGATGCATATCAATATTTATTGCCCTCTTTATATTTTTTAAGCCAAAGAAGTTTTTATTCAAGTTTACTAATTGCTTTTAATTACACTATTTTATTGTTTGATTACTCTACTTTATTATTCCAATCACGGTTTGAGGTGTAATATACACGGAGAAAAAATTTTGGTTTAATTTCCTTACTTCTTGGTAAGGACAATTCTGAAAAAAAGAAACCGTAATTTTGGCTGATAAAACCAAAATATACGGTATTTAAATCATTCATTTGGTAATTTTTTCATTCGTATTGTAACGATTTACCGGAAATTCTGACTTTAAATATTATAGTTCTTATTACCACGCATTAAATTATAAATACAAAAGTGAAATATAAACTCAACCTAATAAATGGTTTTTATGCATTGCTCTGAAGTATCATGATAAAATTACCGAACTTTATAAAACAAAACCAAAAATCATTACCAAAGCTCTTCGGAAAGATTGCCGTGGTTTTAAGAACGCTGAAAATTTATATTTAAGCGAAAAAAGACACAAAAAAAAATAAATTCAGATGAACAACTATTGAGGAAGACAGGATTGAAAGAATAACACTCGTTATAACCACACACACATATATATATATATATACATATATATATACACACATATATATATATATATATATACATATATATATACATTTAGAAATATAGTTGCAAACCTCGGGCATGCTGGTTAGGTTTTAAGAGCACAATGGATCAATTTCTCAAATTCATTTAAAAAATAAAGTTGCCGAAATTGGGTACTTGCACTTCAAGAAGAAGATCTCGGGATACCCACACACGTGACCTATGACGTCAGC